TTTTCTCAATCCACAAGCTTCCTTGCGTTTTCCTCTGATTCTCCACCTCCACTGGAAGAGGGAGAGGTGAGCGAGCGGCTGTGTGGTACAAAATTGCTAGCCGAGGTTAAACCCCAACATTCAGTCCTTGTTCTGTTCCACTGACAGGCTCGAAGAGACACCTAGTAACAGTTTCTCTGATCGCAGTGTGAGTAGGTTCTGGATTTGCCCCTTCCATGCCACGCAGGAGGGTTGAGAGCGATGGGTGTGAAACGTAGCTAACGGCGTATGAAGTGGACGGTGTTGTTTACACACAGGAGGAACGGTGCAGCAATGAAATCTCCCAAAGGCTAAACACCAACATAAAATGACTAACAACTGAAATACAAGAGAGTAGGTTGAGGATGGAAGGAGCAAAATGATCAGGTGTGAAGAGACTATTCTGGACTTTGCGATAGAGGTATCAAGACATGCACTGTGACACCCAGCTAATCAGAATTAGATCAGTTCTTTTACTGATACTCTGTTTTGGCTTTGGTGTGGTGACTCTGATTCAACAGCCCTGAATTCAGCAGGTCCCACTGACTAAAAAAAATACTGGCTTCTTTTGGAAAGACTCATTTTCTCCCAATTTTTCCTCTTTGCATTACTTCTCTGGAAAGGGAAATAGTCTGACTTACTGGTAGATGGGAAGGGTGTGATACAGAGGTTAATTCAGAGATGGGTTGTTCCAGCACTATATTCAGGCAACAACTGCACAAAAGCAGGGGAGTGACCCACTAACTACCAAAACTTAAGAGTTCAGGTACAATTTAAGCCACTAGACTTAGTATTTCATTTCTGAAGTATTAGTGCTAACATCTGGTAAGCCTAATAACATTCCTCAGAGCTACACAAAATGTTAATCTTGTGATTTTACAGATGAAATAGAAAGCGGGGAAGGACAAATAATTTTGCTCAAGATCACAGAGAAGAGCTGGAGACATGGAAGGAATTCCTGGCTCCAGGGCTCAAGCACGCGTTTCTGCCTACCCACCTCAACTGCTAGCGTGCCTGCAAACCCAGATAGCCCAGGCAGATGGGATCTTATGACATTTCAAATACTGGAAATATCATAAAAGAACAACTTCAACTTCCCTCCTGTTTGCTTGGCCTTCCTAATCATCAAGGAACATTACAAACCATTTTTTTCAAGATCTTTATTCAAACTTCAGTTAAAAAAAAAAAGAATGTTATAGATATAACCTGAGATTCAGCTACCTGTATTTTATCAAGTCTTCACCCTAAGATACTAAGGGGCTGGAGCATGTGTGGAGAAGGGAACAGAGTTGGGGAAGGGGCTGGAGCACAATTCCTGTGAGGAGCGGCTGAGGGAGCTGGGGGGTTCAGCCTGCAGAAGAGGAGGCTCAGGGAAACCTTATTGCTCCCTACAGCTCCCTGAAAGGGGGGTGCAGAGAGGGGGGTCGGTCTCTTCTCCCAAGGGACAAGTGATGGGACAAGAGGAAACTGCCTCAAGTTGTGCCAGGGGAGGTTTAGGTTGGATATTAGGGAAATTCCTTCCCGGAAAGGGCTGTCAGGGTTGGAAGGGGCTGCCCAGGAAGGGGGGAGTCACCTCGGGAGGGGTTTCAGAGCCGTGTGGATGTGGGGCTCAGGGACATGCGTTAG